TTCCATACACAGTGTGTATTGATCCATACATAGTGTGTGTTGAACGTAAAGCTCTATATTGAACGGTTGCATACATATTGTTGCACCCCTACAAAATAAATCTAAATAAAAAAATTAAAATCTCTGAAGCCTTTTCACTTACGTTTGTCACATGTTGAAGTTTAGTTATTGACTGTAAAACTGAATCCCTGAGAGGTCTGAGGTGGAGGGATAGATGGAGGGGGGCGTAACTCCAGTGCTGCAGCACACTTTTCTTTAACGGTACCTGCTGGACTGGATGTTAAATATTAGCAGCTCAGCTTCTTATCGTTAGCCGAACGAAACTAGCGCATCTAAAGCACGGTTTGTGTCAGCTCAGCTCTGTTCAGCATGGTTCAGGTGGGTTTCCAGTACACTTCAGGAGCAACTGTAGTGGGCCGGTTCATCGTAAGGTTGGGCGGTCCCAGAGTCTGAAAACTGAGCTCCATTGGGCAATGGAAACACATTGGAGCCGAGCTGAACCGTGCTACAGAGACACTAGTGGAAACGGGCCATAATAAAATTGTGTAGATGTTAGTGAAGTTAATATTTGAATTAGCTGTGTGTAACACTGAGTCCAACAGTACAAAACACCAAACACTGTGAACATGTTAAATACAGGCTGAGCAGACGGAGTCACTGGGTAATTATATAAAAAGAGCAAACAGCTTGTTGTGCTACACTTTGGGCCATGAGTTTGACAGTTTAGAGTTGGTGCAGACTCCTACCAGCACTTTGTTGTTGATGCACTGAGCCAGAGGAAGCCACTGGAAGACCTCACTGAAAAGCTGGAACATCTGGGCCGTGTATTTGGCTTTGACCTCCCCTTCAAACCCGTACATCTGGTTCATGTTGTCCGTCTCGTGGTTACCTGAAGGGACACGATTTTACATCTCTCTCTGACAAAACCCGCGACTCAATATTGTGAGGTAAACACAAAGATGGCCGCCTCACCCCTGAGCAGGTGGAAGTCGTCGGGGTAAAGCAGCTTGAAGCCGAAGAGGGTGAGGATGACCTCGACGGAGAAAGAACCACGGTCCACGAAGTCGCCGTTGAACAGCTGGAAGCTGCGGTTAAGAACGACGACGCACAAGTTCTGTTATTTCTTCATTTCAGGCAGAAACAGAACCAAGCAGGAAGTAAAAGGCGTGGCTCTTAGAGAAGGGAAGGATACGTAAGGGTTGGTCTCTGAGGGTAAACCGTTCAGCTCGAAGATGTTGAGGAGGTCGTAGTACTGTCCGTGGGTATCACCACAGATCGTTATTGTTTCTGTCTGTGGAAAAGACAAACAGAAAGAGGTCAGGCTTATCATGTTGGCTAACAAAAACCTGAGTTTACCTATAATTATAACCTCTTACCTCTTTTAATGTGATTTCAACCAGACTTGGTAGTTTGGATAAAACGTCTTTAACTTGTATTAAAATCTGAAGAAAAACACAAAAGTTATTTTTTTAAAGTGAAGATGAAGAGGGACTTCAACACTATTGATCACACTGTTCTCCTCCAATAAATTACAACAGTCATTTCCAAAGCTGGGGTCGGGACCCACAGTGGGGCCCTGAAAATATTTTCTGAATTACACTGAAAAATGACAACTAGCAATTTTTGTTTTTGTCGTTACAAAATAATAAGAGTAGTGTACTTAAAATGAACAAAAATAATGTAATAAATAAAGTTACTATGCTCTTGTTTATTTGATGTGAAAACATTGTTTATTAACTGAGAACAGCTGGGGCCACAGGGCTCTGCTGCTGGTGTTTAGGTTTGGGAACCACTGAATTAGAGGATCTACAGATCTACAGTGATCTACAGTGATCTACAGATCTACAGTGATCTACAGTGATCTGCAGATCTACAGTGATCTGCAGACCTACAGTGATCTACAGATCTACAGTGATCTACAGATCTACAGTGATCTACAGATCTACATATCTACAGATCTACAGTGATATACAGTGATTTGCAGATCTACAGTGATCTGCAGATCTACAGTGATCTACAGTGATCTACAGATCTACAGTGGGCATCTAATAATCTGAATAACAGGAAACTTTGTTCAGGTAAACAATGTTAAGATCTGAATTATGTAATATTAGTTGTGGAGTTCCTCAGGGTTCTGTACTTGGACCAAAATGGTTTATTCCGTATGTCAGGGCTATTCAACTGGCGGCCTGTGGGCCACATCTGGCCCACCAATCGGTTCATTCATCTCTAAAGTCCAAACCCTCGGTTTTTATTTCAATTAGTTCTTTTAGTTAAGCATAGACATGTTTTGTATCTACAGAAACATCACAATCTTGGCCACAAGCTGGTAAAAAATATTTCTATGAATATCTAAAACAGTTAAAACTACAAGAAGTTGAAGATAAAACTATGAAAGTGAAAATAAAATTGGTTAAAAAATTTAGCAAATCAGGGGTGTTAAAATATTTGTGTTAAATAAGAGGTAGAATGTGTTATTTTTGTTTTTGATTTATCTGTATCTTTAGCTGTTATTACATAGGGCTTTGTATGTTGTATCCATGATAAAATGCAGCAAAATAAACTAATTTAAAGGTAACAGATCTTTGTAATTAGGGCTGCCACAAACGATTATTTTTATAGTCGATTAATCACCGATTATTTTTTTGATTAGTCGACTAATCAGATCATATGTTAATTGAATATAAAACATACAGCTTATCACGTCAGAATGCAGCTGCTATTATATAACCATGGTTAGATTTTAGCTATATGCTAACTAAAAATAATWGCTGTRGAAGRYAAGTTCTGCTCTGCAGATATTACACAGGTTTCTCTTTCGTTTTCTTAAAATGATCCCACACTTTGAGCTCTGTTGTCAGGTAGCCATGATACCAGAGCCTGTCTGTATAATGTCTTGTGACGTCCACGGCCTACCCCAGTTACCACTACTGTGCATGTGTGTCAAGGACAGAAAGGCAGACGTGGCAGTGGAAGGTGTCAAAGCAGTTTGGAGAGAAAAACAAAGTAAAGAACAAAAAAAAAAGAAAACGATTTATCGATTATTAAATTAGACATCGATTATTTTAATAATCGATTAGTCGTCAACTAATCGACTAATCGTGGCGGCCCTATTTGTAATACTTGTTTTATTTACATAATGACTTTATTTGCAGGATGTTCGGCCCCTCAGCTGTTGGTMTGCAGTAACTGTGGCCTCTGGAGTCATTTAGTTGAATTGCCCTGTCGTATGTAAATGATCAGGTCAATGTGTCGAGGCTTTCAAAATGTATTTTGTTTGCTGACACAACATTTCTTTACTCTGGTGAAAACATTGAACAGATATTGAAGACCACTCAAGCAGAATTTATGAAAATAAATTTCGTTCAAAACTTTTTTCTTTTATTACCGTGTATATTTTGCGTTTTTCTTTTTTTTTTGGAGTAAAATAAATTTTTAAATAAAAAAATAAGTCTGAAGAAGTCCAAAGAGTGCGTTAAGACAGGAGGAAACGTTTACCTGATAAGCACACTTTCTGTGCAGCTTCTTCTGATCTTTGAACCAATCCATCAAATCTTTCATGAACTGCTGGGTGACCTTTCCTTCCTCCAGTTTGGGCCCCACGTAGTCATCCTCAATGGCTGCAAAACAAAATAATCTTTATTATGTTTTTAAAGAGGTGTGAGATTAAATCTATTCTGAATGGATTTTCAAATGTCAACTAGTTTAACGTTAACGTGCTGCTGCCTAACGCTCGCTACAGTCACTTCCTGTAACAGAAACATGTGGCAGTAAAGCTGCTTGTTTTTACATATTTCTCATCTTTTCTTCTGTTTGAATGATACCTGAAGTTTTCACAATAATGACTTTGACATGTCTGAAATGTGCTTTTATTTCTAGAGATGAACTCGATGCTAACCGTGTTAGCTTCTCTATGGAATTTTCAACATCGGTTAGCATATGAATGATAACGGAGGAAAAGATGGAGATGAAGACCCTGAACCAGAGTTTCTCAAACTTAATGGGCCTGAGGACCCCTTACAGAGGTGAAAATATTTCAGGGACCCCCTTATAAACCTCATGCAGATTTAAAACTGATTTACTGCCATTTTAACGCCTAAATTCCTTGAGAATAATTATTGTTTATTTGACTGGTGCATTGTTCCCCTTATTCATTTATGAAGTTTTTTTTATGAACAAACAAAATGAACAGTTTATTACAAATTTTTCAGGACCCCAGTTTGAGAACCTCTGCTCTAAACCACACCTGGGGTACCATCCAGATGATGCAGGACCTTTGTTTCTGCCCTTCATGGCAGCAGGCAGGAAGTACGTTAGCATATATGCTAACAGTTGTTTGGAAGCCTGTGATTAATGTTGTTTTTTTTTTTACAGATTCTGTCTTGTTATATTGACAGTAAACAGTCCCAGTGTTGTCTCTTTAAACAATCAGACCAGTTTCAGGGGCTCTGTTGTACGAAAATTCACTGACTGTTGATTTAAAGCTCATCTAGAGATCATATTTTCAGTAATAAGAGGAAACTCACTCATGTTTTCGATGTCCAGAGAGTCGACAACAGATTTCTTCTTCTCGTCGCTGGCGATGGCTCTCTCAAAGGCTTTCTGCTTCACGATCTTGTTGCATTCCTGATACTTCATTCTTGCATCCTTATCGTTCGGTCGAACTCTTACTACCTGTCATCGAAACAGGAAACTTAATGTCTTTTTACAGGTTTATGCTGGTAAACCTGATCAAAAACAGACTAAACTTGGTTTTAAATGAACTGGAATCATGACAGAATCAGTCATTATGTTTGAGGACATTCAGACTGCAGCTGATGGTTTTRTATATGGTAGATTTCTTACTGTTTCATAGTCCTTAAGTGCAGCTTTAAACTTGCCCAGTGCCATGTTGGAGGTGGCACGGCGGTAATATCCTTTTATGTAGTTTTTGTCTATCTCCAGGGCCTTCGTAGCGTCTGCCAGGGCGTAGCCATAGCACTCTGTGCGCAGGTAYGCCAGGCTTCGGTTGCTGTAGTAGATGGCATTCTGTGGGTTGAGCTCCACGGCCTCTGTGTAGTACTTGATGGCATTCTCATAGTCTTTATCTGGAAAACAAATAAATCAGCACTGAATGAACCGTTGTGGTTTGATGCAAGAGCTAAACAAAGTTTAGTCTGATGATTTTGTGTTAATTTAAAGGTCATTAAAAGAGGAATGAAGATGAGACTTTCTTGATGTTTTGAAAACAATCAAAGTGATTTAATAAATGAATAAAAAATAAAGCCAGTATCAGAAAACAGCATGGATGAAAGATTTGGTCCCCGTATCTCTGATTATTAATTAATTAAATATAAAATAAAGAAATCCAACATTTTAATTTATTGACAACGAAATCTTCTTTCAGCTGTTCCTTCTTCAGCGAGTCATCCTCCCTCAGTTTGTTCTGTCCTCACTCCAGCTATCTCCATGTGTGATAAAACCAGTGGTGGGCAGCACTAATCTAAAAATTACTTCCACTAGCCCTAAAACACTAACTCAAATATTTAGGTCCTCTAATTCTAAAGCACTAACTCGGATATTTAGGTCCTCTAATTCTAAAGCACTAACTCGGATATTTAGGTCCTCTAATTCTAAAGCACTAACTCAGATATTTAGGTCCTCTAATTCTAAAGCACTAACTCGAATATTTAGGTCCTCTAATTCTAAAGCACTAACTCAAATATTTAGGTCCCCTAATTCTAAAGCACTAACTCGAATATTTAGGTCCTTTAATTCTAAAGCACTAATGCACTAAAATTTTAGCAAAAGCCAATTCTAAAGCACTAAAATAATCTAATCAACCTATGAACATTGTTCAACAGACATGAGTCACATGTTGTCTGTTGCTCTCTTAAAACTTATCATAGAAACTCCACAGTTGTGTTCAGTTCACATATTGTCACCTGGTGGATCAGTGACACACATATGAACAAAATGTGTGACAGTTTTCACCCTCAGCTGTTAACATTAACGTTGATCAACAACATTTATAAACCTCAGTTAGTGCTTCTAAATTTAGCAAATGCTAATCCACTAAGAAATTTTAAAATTAGCAAAAGCCCTAAAGCACTAATCAGGAAATTAGTTCACCTATTAGTGCTTTAGCAGAACTGTGCCTACCACTGGATAAAAGCACACAAGCATAGATACAGTACATACTATTTGTTAGTACACTTCTAACCAGTAAGTTTCTCAGTTACATTTTAGCATAATTAAAAGGCAAAAATATACAATTTACTCTACTTCATAGTTTGAAATCTCCTCAAATATACTTTGATTAAACTTAAAGTGGTTCTACTTTAGCACACAAAGTGCACAACATAAAAATAGACTTTATTACAATTAAAGCGCAATTAAATTATAATTAGTACACGTTAAATGAAAGAAAATACCACAGTTTTAAACTCACTTGGTGTGCACCAGTGAGTGCTCAGGTATGCTTCAATTTACTACATTTATTATCATTTATTTTAAACCCTGGGGAATGCTGTCAGGGTTTAATGAGCAAACCTTTATATTATTTCTAAAATGTTTATGAACTATTTGCTCAATCTACTCAAGATTACAAGAACGTCTTTCGAAAGTGAGGGCAGCACATGTGACTCAGTTAGCATTTCACATGAGGAAGTTAGACAACTGAACAAGCATTTTCTTTTCATAACCAGARAAAAGTCTGACCTATTTTCTTAACTTACAACCAGTGAATGGACACGTGGTCATAATACAAAAAAAAACAGGGTTTACTGAAAGTAAACTGGGTGCTGTTAAAGTTAAGAAGAATCAACAAACATTAGCTAGCTAACAGGATTAGCTCCACTTTTACTTCTACATAAAACTACATTAAAATCCATAAAACCAGGACTGGATTTAACCAGCACATGTCTAACAGCACCAGATGGCCGAGCTCATTAGCTCTCATAAAACACCGACCGCTGACGGCGTGTTTTACAGCTAAAGCAGCAACAGCTAACAGCTGCCGCAGAAATGAATGGAGATCACAGTTAGCGTTAGCTTAGCGGCTAACCCGTCGCCGTTAGAATGAATGGAGTGTGGATAGCATTAGCTTAGAGTGACGTTTGAGACAGGCTCGGTTTGTCACAAAATGAGATAAAAACAAGCTTCCGGTCGAATCAGTGACGGTGGAGCTGTCTGTTCTGAGCTGCTGGAACAAGTCACCGACTTGTCAGCTCCTCGGGATTACCTTTGAAGTACTTATTTGCCTTCTCCTTGAGTAGCTCTGCATCGTTAGCTACCTCCGCCATCTTCTCCTCTSTGTCGCTTTCTGACTGTCGTAAAAGGTCGCAAACTCTGTTTTCTTYACTTCCACAGGAACTGTTGTTGCTGAGATTTTCTGTTTTAGTTTGATTTACTGAATTTAGTTTTACAAACTTATAGTTTTAAGTAGATAATAACAGTGAAATGTACATTACTGTGCTTGTAGAAACAAGCATAAACAATAAATTAATCTCACAGTTAAAGTGTCATAATGTAATTTTAATATAATTTATTCATTTCATTTTAATTAAAGAAAACATATTCACATACGACAAAACAATACAAATAAAATAAAATGAAAGGTAGGAG